ATTTATGTTAATCTGTTAATGATTGCTTCTGAATGTTGGAAAATTGCAATCATTTGATTCATCGCCTAAGGAAGGAATGCAACCTCACAGCAACATCCCACTGCTCTCAGAAATTTAATATAATTATTTTACAGAGTCGAAACTCATTTTACATGCGGTCAAGAGCATTTAACACCTGCAGCAACGGTTATATAGTTTCGTGTGTATAGCGTCATAATGGTCGCGTATTGCCGCAACCGTATAGACATTACCTCATCCTTTCTTTGCACCATGACGTGCAGTCTCAACACTGACCTTAAGAAATGGCAAAAAACGTTGGAAAAAAAACTTGTTGCTGCGGAATGATTCTCGCACTTCAGTTTACGTAGAGTCTCAGCAAACAGTTCTTAGGCAATAGTCTTAAACTGTCTTGCAGTAATAGATAAATATGATTATATTTCTCAATTGGTTTTGAACAAATGGGCTTTATGGAAATAGGAAGGTCAAATAAATTTGTAAAGGGACAAAATTTCTGGTCAATAAACCATTACAACATGAATAAAATTCGTTTATTGTATGTGCTTCAAGTTTTGTTTCATATATGTTCTAATATAGTTCCTAAACTCTGGTTTTAATAATTATGGGTGTTTTGCAAATAATTCACCGACGACGCCTCAAATTGCCAGTCTGTGCTTGATAATTTGTGTTTTATGACCACTTGCTACGTTGTGCATGGCATTACTAACGCTACATCACATTCATTACTAACGCTACATCACATTCATTACTAACGCTACATCACATTCGTTGCTTGATATTTTGTGCTTTATGACCACGTGCTACGTTGTGCATGGTGCTGTGCATGGTTGGTCAGGAGTACACATTATAAGAGACTACAATATCATCGCATTGATGAGGTCATCTTTATTTACATTAATGTCAATTGTCAACTCTCACAGAATTCTGAATAAGATGGAGCGTTGTAAAGTTCAAAGGAAAGCAAACTTAAATTCAGTCACTGAGACGCCCTGGCCGAGGCAAACAAGTGGAAGGCAGTGAAAAGGTTTCGTCGAAAGGAAGCTACTGCAAGGGAGAGCCTCTCACTTTCCTTCTTTGAAAAAAACGGGTAAAAAAATAGATTTTCTTTCTGCAACTCTGCGCCTGTTGTCCTTGACTGGACACCATAACTTTTTACTTGCAGCACTTATCACATCAAACTAATATCATTAGTTTGCTTAAATCGCAAGTTCATCAAGAATTTAGGAGCTAAGAAAACTTCACGTAAATTCACCATATCGTCATTAAAAACGGATCGGAGACCAAATCCATCATTAGTTAAAAATATGTTGAATGCGAATACCATCAGAAAGGAAAAGCGAAAGTGCACACGAAGGAGTTATCTGCGAATAGAGAAAACGACGCTGGAATATATGAACTTAACGGTTTACGATTCCAAGAGGATTTGAACTATAATAAGCATTATTGGACAAGTTTTCCACTGTACATTAATAAGCAAGGTGTCCATTAGACCAGATTTCCATGAAACGACTCTAAAATCCTTACTTGAATCTACATATATTTTTGAACTGATGATACAGCTGATATTCGAAACGTTTTCAATGACGATATGGTGAATCTACATGTCGTTTAATTTGCTTTGCATTTTTTCCATCCTGTTCATACACTCGGTTGTTTTCGTAATTATTCCATGAGCATTAGAAACTTTTTTCGAACTCACTCGTACGCAAAAACTTTTTTCATGTAATACGTAGCTTTATTTAATATGCCTTAATATTTTACACAATCCTCATCATTATTTTACGGCAAGTTCCTTTCGATTACTTTTCTAGAGCAGATGTTCAATCAATTAAACTAGTCCTGTCTTAAATGTCTCATAGAGAATATTTAATGAAGCGAAGATTGATGAAGCATTAATAAATAATCACCTATTTGAGGTAAATTATTTTATGAATATTTTCTTTAAAAAATAATATCTTGAAAGATATTATGGATTAAATAAATTAATAATTTATGATCAGGTAAACGATCACGATACCGACGTTGTAAACTTTATACGGAAAACAATCAGGATATACCGAAGTTGTTAACTTTATCAGGTAAACAATATGAATGCCGAAGTTAAATTACGTTCACATAATCCTTTAAACAGTACGTTTTAACGAGCAATTATTTATTCAATATGCAACTAGAATGCATCAAAGACTGAATAAAAAAATTAAATTTACCTATAGCGTGAGAGTTCAGTATCACAAGAAACTCTTTCTTTTCTACCTCACTTTGGTTTAATTTTTAAATTAAGCTCACATTCAAGAACAGAATGTACATTCCAATAATGAGTCTGCCTATTGACAGAACAAACAAGCTCTGCGATACACGATACGGCCTTGCCTGTACAGCCTGCATACACGATACTGTCTTGCCTGCACAGCCTGCATACACGATATGGCCTTGCCTGTACAGCCTGCATACACGATACGGCCTTGCCTGAACAGCCTGCATACATGATACGCCTTGCCTGCACAGCCTGCATACATGATACGCCTTGCCTGCACAGCCTGCATACACGATACGGCCTTGCCTGCACAGCCTGCATACACGATACGGCCTTGCCTGTACAGCCTGCATACGCAATAATTTATGCAGATGTAACAACGCACATGAAATTCGTAAAAGGTATTTAATATAAATAGACTTTCAATTGCTGAGCACAAAATGCCATCAATGCTTGCACTACGAATGATCAGGAAATCCAACCGGATGAAAACTAATCTGTATTGGCAGAATTTACAGATTTTCAAACGCTCAATTTAAATTTTGCATCACCATTTTCACCATTTTTTCCTTTATTGCTTACTGAGTTGAACGTTTTTGTATCAGAATATTTTCATAAGTCAAGAATTACTTTAAAAGTAATCAAATCAGCAATTGCGGGTTGGCTAAAAAGCGTTGGGAGCCTCACAAAATTAGTTTGCAACGAAATTTTCAATTCCAAATTCTAAAAATAATCCTCCTCTTCTTTGGGTGAAAATACAAAAAATTATTCATATTATTTACTTATTTTTAATTAAGGCCTTCAAAAATGTCTTGTAGATTTCGAGTCAGAACATAGAAATTAGAATTTTAGAATCCACAGCGATATCAGCCTTGAAGTTCTTTCTTCTTTCCAGCCTTGCGTATCCAGAAGTCTCCACGCTAGGAAGTAATAACGTACGTAGTCCAAGACATTCCATCACACCGATGTTCGGTGTCACTACAACGCGTTCGTGACACGCTCGAATGGGACGCAAGATGTCGCGGTGTCAGCCCCACTCTTCCTAGTTATGTTATTGTACTCACTGTGTGTCGGAGTAGTGCAATGTATCACAGTTAAACTACAACAAATATAATGCTCACTACGTGTCGGAGTAGTGCAATGTATCACAGTTAAACTACAACAAATATAATGCTCACTACGTCTCGGAGTAGTGCAATGTATCACAGCTAAACTACAACAAATATAATGCTCACTACGTGTCGAAGTAGTGCAATGTATCACAGTTAAACTACAACAAATATAATGCTCACTACGTCTCGGAGTAGTGCAATGTATCACAGCTAAACTACAACAAATTTAATGTACTGCTCACTTCTGTTGAAAGATTAACGGACTCCAGTGCACCAAGCTGGACTGTGCTTATCAAACGTTGCCTGTCAGACATTTTCACGTATCAGTGCACTGTATACCAAAACAGAAGTATTAAATTTAAGCTTAACAGAGCGGCCTAAAACAATATAGCAGTATATACTATGATACTATTATTATTTTTGAAGCTGATTGCCTGTTTACTGAAGAAAAAATATTCCAAATCCAAATTTTGTCATCACCGCGAGCGCAACTCGAGGAGGCGACCAGAGCGGCGGTGGGGGTCTTGCTGCTGAACTTCTGATGGATCTGAGGTCACTAAATCACTAGGATGATGGGTTCATTCAATATGTTCATGCTGCATAATGGGGTGAATTAGGGAGTAAAAGATTCATGTGAATGAATCGAAGAATGAAGTATTCAATAAATTAAGTTTTATCTAGAAAATTAAGTAATTAAATTGAAGGCGACTAATTAAGGCAAGAGAAAGTGATTAAAAGTTCGCTTCATTCATGGAATGAACTGAAAAATAATAGTTGCCAGTTTTTATTGCTGCATTTCTGTCGCTGCAGAAGTTGAGAGAGAAAGCACAGCGTAATTGTAACCGATATCTACTATTAATAAGACTGCCGATCATTTTTTATCGTCAATCAATAGTAAGCAGGAATCGTTTCTAGTTACCCTGGCTACGAAAACCCCTTATATAAGTTTGCGATGACAAATCTATTGCTCTACTGATTGTTGATTCCCCAACATTTAGGTATAATGTAAATAATAAATTTAAAAGGATTGAAAACCTGTTGAATACGAGCATATTTCATTCATGTTCACTTCGGATTGTAATGAAACCCAAAAGAGGAGCAAGGTTTGTTAGTGTCGTGCAGGGTGAGGAACCTGAATTAAATCAGAAGTTCTTTACATCTCTCAAACTTTTTTTTAAATCTGCACATTTGATGTCTATGTTTTTTTTTTGCTGATCTTCTATCAACTATGATATAAAATAATTGATATTTTAATATTCATTATGCTTGCTTCTTCCAATCTATATTATGATGTTAATCTGCCATGAATATTATAAAATACATTTGGCCACTATTCCAGCCAAACAAATTTTAATGATGAACCATTTTAAAACTCATAATATTAATTCAAATGCATATAGGTACTATTTATAACCCATTACATATTGCGTCATCCAAGTCATTTAATTAAAGTTGCATTTGGCACAGATGCAACATAATTAACCTGACCATTTTCCAATTCCAGACGCATTATTCAGCTTCTAAATGAGCTGAGCGTGGAAACACTGTACATGGATCCAAATATAACACCCGTAGATTCTCTGACGCTGACGGTGATATGTCCTTGGTTGTTGCAGAAGCTGCAGAGAACCTAACACTGAGCACCGCGTCGCCGGATACGGACGGCAGCGGCAGCGTACGAGGCACAAGGAGTAGACGGTCTGTCAAGGACCTGTACAACATGCTTACCTGCTCCACAAACTGCGACCCGCTCTCCTACAAAGGATACGGCTGCTACTGCGGCTTCATGGGCGCCGGCGCGGTCGTTGACGGCATTGACAGGTCAGGGGCGTAATGTGATCTAATTCTCATATATATTCTCATGCCCTTTATCTTTGATTTAGTTATTGAAGTCCGGTTAAATTTTAACCTTTTCGCTTCTAAGCGAGCTTACTTTTTTGTAACTTTGGGCGTTTTCAGAATAATTTCCTGCTTAAAGTCAACTCTATCTCAATGGAGTTCATTTTAATTATTATGCCTGCTAATTTAATGAATCAAAACATGCGAACTATTATTAACATGTGAAAACCATGACAGCAAAAATAAAGTTTACATGATCTAACTAATTGTGAGAGTAAATGTTGTTTATGATGTCACCAAGTGATTACATAAAATTAACACTTAATTATATTCTATACAAAATGTTCTAAAAATTACGGGAAATTCACCAACGAGTGAATCTCCTCTTACAAAAAAGAGAGCACAATAAACACGCAAGAATATCCTATGATTTTGTGCACACAGAAACTTCATACATGAACTAAACTTTTTCTCAGTAGAGTTCATTACGAGAAATGAAAGCAAGCCCTGTGCTTCTTTTACACTATTAATATATTATGACATTTGTTCTTGACTTGGCAGGTGCTGCAAAATTCACGACTGGTGCTACGAGACGGCAAGGCAATGCTCGGGACTACAGTGGTACATGGCTCCTTACGACTGGCACTGCTATTATGGGCATCCTATATGTGGTGAGTCTGACCACTGGTACTGCTATTACGGACATCCTATATGTGGTGAGTCTGACGACTGGCACTGCTATTATGGGCATCCTATATGTGGTGAGTCTGACCACTGGTACTGCTATTACGGACAGCCTATATGTGGTGAGTCTGACCACTGGTACTGCTATTACGGACAGCCTATATGTGGTGAGTCTGACGACTGGCACTGCTATTACGGACAGCCTATATGTGGTGAGTCTGACGACTGGCACTGCTATTATGGGCATCCTATTTGTGGTGAGTCTGACGACTGGCACTGCTACTAAGGACATCTTTTATGCGGCGAATTTAACGAACATCTCGGCTGGCACTACATATCTAATGCCGTTCTTTATGCGGCGAGTCATACGGCGGGTAAAGCTGCCATAGCCGTCCAATATGCGACAGGCATTCCGGTGGTCAATCAATCGTGAGAAATTGTTACGTTCAACACTAATACACAATGCTCCTTAATTGTTCAGCTTAAGGGAAGAAGAAATGCCTTCGGTTTTTCGAAACACTCTACTATTGACAAGAAGGCAATCATGCGTTGGTTCCTGATTCGAAGTGGAATAACAGTCGCTGATTTTTTTTCTTCCATGGACGATCAAAATGTTCTCGGTTATCCTATAAGAGCGTCATTTGAAAGACATTGCATTTTCATGTCACATAGAAACAGCAGAGGAAATATCTTTTCACTGTGAGGCAAGCAAACAAATTTGAGCCATAAATCTATCGTTGTGACTCAATCAGCATGTCTGCTGCATGAGGAATGTGAGTTCTCTTATATATGACAATGTTAACGTTTTTTTTTGAACAATAATGCACAGTGGCATCAATAACTTTAGGAAAGTAGAACCTTTGGAAGTTTCATCTATGCATAAATTACCTACGTCCTAAAATTATACCTGCATTCGGTATGTTATTCAGTTGTTAGAATCTTGCGCGTTTTTTCCGATCTGCCACAATTACACATAAAGATATTGCAGTCAACTCTTTAAGAAAGGTTGAACTACAAAGTTTTTTTAGTTTGAAGATATTGCAGTCCACTTTTTAAGAAAACTTGAACTAAAATGTTTTTTCACTTAGTTTTAAAAAGTTTTTGTTGAGCAGCTCCTGCGCCGCGCTGGCGCCGACGGTCCTGCGGCCAGCAGCTGTGCGAGTGTGACCGCGCGTTCGCCGAATGCCTCCGCCACCAGCCGTGCCCAGGACCGAAGGCGATGTGTGTGTCGTCCCCGTGGAGGTTAGCACAGAACGTCTTCATGGGCGTCGTCGGTAAAACAGGCTTCGAGCATGCCGACAACCTCCTCTACTGATCCAGTCGCGCTAGTCTTGCCTTCCTCCTCACGTCAAGTTGTCTGTAATAACCATCCCCAATGATTTTATTGATAGACACCATTCACCAACCTCAATGATCGTATTGATAGACACCACCACTAATGATTGTATTACTTTTATAGTCATCATCCATAATGATTGTAATGATAGTCAGCACCCCTAATGATTGGAAAAGAATTCACTACACGCAATGATAACAAAAACAATAAACGGAAGCCGGTGAAAACGTCACTGGTTCGTTTCGGTGCACTTCACGAATGTCGTTTTTCTAACTTGCTTGATGTTCCTGAATTAATAATTCGAGAGGGAAAGTTCCTTACACTTTTTCGACTGCCAGTCTATTTTAGTCCTTTTCCAATTTTATATTAAAATAAATTTCTGTCATTAGAACTAAACTGGTTGCATGAGTGTTTGCCATATACGATGCATTTAAAGCGCATGCTGAAATGCATCTCGTATAGAACCTACCGGTAGCCCGCTCCTGTTGACCACTCATTGATCTAAGCAAAAGTTGCTCGTCGTTGCAGCAAACTCGCTTAAATTGCAACTCTTTTCTTGACAATATCAAGCCCAGCATCTAAGCACCACACAATTACTGCAATGAATCATTTGAATTTTTCTGTGTATCAACGAATCTGACACACAAATTGCTTTCATGTTTCGTGGAATTGGTAAAATCGTAAACTGCGTTTGTGAATCTCAGTTTTTCAGTGGCTTCGGTGCTTCATCATATTTTTGGCGGTTAATCCTTAGTGATTCGAATAAACCCATATGAGCCCTCTGCACATGGCATGCTTTGATGTTTCCTGCACTTACTCCTCAAAAACGCAATCTCTGCACCTACCGTCTTCGTTATTACTTCAGTATTGCAAGTAGCTTCTGTCACATGTGCTTGCTGAAATGCCGCCTAATCGGTCTATTAAATTTATTTTGATGAGTTCATACATAATTAATATCGTTGCTTATTCATCAGTGCGTTAGAAAATATTTAAGCTGCTTTGTGTAGTTTTCCTAACGCTTGTTCCTATCAGAGATGTCGCGATTGCACCATTAATGAGATACGTAATACTATGACGCAGTTAATATTTAAAATATGCGTCATGCACAAAATACTGTGCGGATCTAACATATTGTTTGGAATTTTACTATATTTTTGGTTGTTGCACATCTAATCCATTGTTTATGTCCCACTGTTTTGCTTGAGCCAGATTTTAGAGTCCTACTCTTTTGATTGACCACTGTTGAGCCTAAATCTCGAATTAGTTAGATGCTTGGACTGGTATTTTCAGAGCACAAATTTACGTTTGTTTGATTCTCTCTCTTAAGCTCAGTATTAATATTGTCTTTAGATCATCGAGATCAAGCTGAGTGGCGTTCGAGCTGCATGTCGTGATGCGGCTCATATGTTCACCGCTTAATAAGGGCTCGAAGAGACAAGAACTTTTGACAAGAATTTGTGGGTGTGTCATTTTTTACAATGCTTGCGGATTTAGATAATTGCTAATTAATCTCGAGTTGGCTTCATTCCCAAAATCATTCGAAGTTATTCATAATGATTCATGGGAATGGCTCTTCATTTTTTCGGCGTTGCGCTCAAGTCTTTCGTCTTTTGTTTGATTTGTCCACGTTGCTGAGAAGCCAAATTCACGTTGCTTACATAATTACTCGAGGGGCTTGTACATGGAGTGTCCTCGGTTTCATGGAGAATACAAGTAATGCTAATGTCCACTTCTGTTTCGAAGTAGCGCTCAAATTATAATGAGTTAACTAAATTCATGAACTGAGGGTCGGTTATCACACGGTTAAGCTCAATGTCAACGTGTGGCCGTAATCTGAATGCAAGGGAAGCTCGCGCATCACTGACTCAAAGTAAAGGATGCGATGGTAGAAATCACTCATCAGATACTCAGTATTTTGTAAGAAGTGGATTCTCAAGTCAGTATTTTTTTATAGTAAAAGTAGGACGCATCGCTCAATACATTTTGCTGGTTGAGAGGTAGTACTGAGGAGACACGCTTGTTTATTTTCATAATGATGCCCTCATGAAAATAAGGGCATCACTAAGGTCCGACTATTGACTTAAACAACCTTATTAACAATCGTCTCTTTCTGATTCAAGCCGAAGCAAATCAATTATTGATCAATTTTTTTCTGACCCTGTGACGTTCAATTATTGCTATGTTTACATGCATTATTTATTTCAATTACAAACGATATCATCCATCATCACTTTGTTCTAGCTCTAATAAATTGATTCTGGCAATTCGTCCGGATTTTGCTGTCAGGTATTATTTTGAATTAGGTTATTCTAGTGATGTGAACTTCGGTATTGCGTCCCTGCAGCATCGGCCACTGCGGTGATTACTAAAAGAAGTTAGTTTACTTAATTTTACACTGAATATGACCGGATATTTTGCTATGGTAAACTAATATTAAATAAAATTGTGCTACAAAGAATATTTTTTCTGAACATAAATTTAATGATGAAAAAGTCCCTTCTTACTCAATTAGGACAAGTTTTCTCTTAATTAAAGTCTTAAATAAAAGTTTGGTCGAATTAGTAATTAATACGGATCTGGTGTCGGGCGAAGACAGTTCGTCTTAAGCTATTGCGATGTCAGTTTTGTTAGGGATATGTATTGCTGGGGATGACCGAGCTGTCTCGTGATGTCCCGGCATTTGCGCTTTTGAAGTTCTGCGTTACTTGCGAAAGCTTCCAAATGACTTGAATTCATCTAGCAAGAAACTAATCACTATGACTGCTGCAGGATTTTTTCATGTCAACAAATTGCCCGGTTCAAAAGTTCAGCCAAATACATTACGATAACTGCCATTGTGTTAACGACGACACGCATATCTATAATAATTGTGTATAATATTACTGCAACATAAATATTTCGCGGGCATTATATATATGAAGTTCTGTTTAATGTAATAAAAGATAAATGAACTACAGTGTTTCAAACTCCTCAGTATGCAGGAATTAAAAGTGCGTGAAAGGTTTAGTTTGAGAAAAGGATTGGATTCGCATCGCGTTGGGTATTTTGGTCACCAAAAATTATATATGACATCAACTGTTTATTATATATAGCTTCTTGAAATTCGATATTCTATTTGTCAGCGATCTTAATCAAAATCATGATCGTCTTTCATCTCTCTAGCACAACGTAATTTTATGGAATTCAAATGAAATAAACAAGTTTACAATTACCTTCATTCAACGTTCAACAAAAACAATGAACGCAATAATTCCACCACTGAAACATATTTGGCTAATTCAAATTTCCATAGAAGTTTTACATTTTTGAGGCGTTCATTTATATATTATTTTTGGCTCCGATTCCATGTCCGTAAAGAAACTTTTGTCCTAACTAAGATTCTTCACGAGTTAGTTCATAACTTAGTGCACCAACACAGGCTCAGGGCTGATGTTTGGACTAGCATAGTCGACGTCAATTTGGTAACGCTGTTCTTGCTGCCCCGAGTGCTCAACGAGACGTCAATGAAGTGCTCGTATTTCGGAGGAGGAATTGCCTGAATCACTGCACAATGTGTTCTTCTGTATTCGACAACAACCACGTCTTCAGCACGACATGCGAAACTCCATCACACTAGACCAGGAATGTGCAAAAATACCTTAAAAAATATAACTCAGAACTCACAGCAGTGAGCGACAGAGAGCGCATTTTCTCGTCGACGAAAACGTGAAGTCACGGACGGACAGACAGACAGATGGACGGACGGACGGACATGGCGAGCACAATAACGCCTTTTTCCCATAAATGAGAAAATGCGCTTAAAACACACGATGATCTCAATTAATGGAACTACTGTAAGTACGCAGATAGACCTTACTAGAAAAACAGTTACGCTGCGGGGCTCCATAAGATATGCCACGAGTGAGCGATTCCGTTCGTGAATCGGACCAATATGTTTCTACGTGGGCAAAGCGAACAGTTAGCTGGAAAATTTGTGATAGTGATAAACTAATGTCATCAAGTAAGTTGACATTAGTTTATTCTTTAACTAATGTCACCTCATAAGATTGTCCAGGCCTCACTTAGGAAAGTGAACACATAGGGCAAAAGGACATAATTCTCCACAATTCAGAAAGTATATCTCTGAATCGTCGAAGGTTCGTGATTCGGTACCCTGAAATCGAAGCATTTCTAAGTATGGTTATTCATGTAAAATATTTATTTTGGATTTTTATTCATGTTGGCCAGGTTTATATTATGGTTTGGGAACTGCCGGGATGTGCAATACTGAATGTATCGAAGCATGCTCAGTAGATATTAATTAAATTTTAGTATATGTTAAAAATTAACTAGAATTTTTGCACCTGAGTAAGTTTTTTACAGTCCAATATAGATGAACAAACTTAACAAAAAACAATTATTATATCCAAATAAATTTTCTCACTTTGACACACTAAACAAGTGTCTTCCGCAACTCTATAATACCGAGTCGACTTGTGCACTATATGACCTCATTCCTGCGCGCACAGTTCGGGTACCACAACGAGTCTCCGACGGGAGCGCAGCCGTGCACCACCAATTTTGTGCACCAATAAGCCCTGAATCGAACGCCTTGGATCTCTCCGAACCTACACCAATCAGCCGTGCACCACTCGGCTTTGTCCTCCTCTGGCCTTGACCACCACCTGCCGTGCACCACCAGGCCGCGGATCGAATATGACTTCCTGGCATCGTTAAATTACGTAATTTTACGTTCACCGCATCTGAGGTTAGGTTTCAGATAGCATAGTTCTGTTCCAAAATTTATCGTCCTTCGACAAGTGGCCGTTCGACCGAGGGCTGGTTCGACCCACGGCCTAGATACGGACGGCTTGAAGTGTTGAAGGCTACGTTCCGGAAGGCAGGAATCATGATGGTCCATTACATCCAGGGCAGTGGTGGTTTTCGGCAGGCGACCCTCTCCGACCCATGCATGGTTCGACGATGAATGTCGGGTCTCAAAGCGTGGGTGTTTGAGTGCTCCAACGGCAGGAATGAGGTCATCAAGTGATCAAGTCGACTCGGTATCATAGAGTTCAGCTGGATCGTTGGCTGAAAGTGCAAACGATGAGTCATGCCGGCGCAGTCGGGACGACTGCACTTTTTTGCGTACAAGACATCGCCGTCGAGACCGCCCCACGGACGACAGATAACGGTTTTCTACGCTGGCACCGGGCGCACACATGGTACCGTCCGCTGAAGTAGTCGTTGGTCGGATATTGCGATCTCAATGATGTCAACTGGCTGAATTTGAAGGTCAGTACACGTGATGACAACGTCCAGCAGTCCGCCCATGTCGTGCGTCGACAAGGTCATGTGACAAACCATACCAAAGGTGGACAGCAAGCCGTTCGTTCATCTGATGCGCTGATGAGTCGATGACGCGATCCAGTCGAACGTCTAAATCGCTGGTGATAAGGATCATAGGACATGATCAGGAAAAGACATCGCTCAATTCGACCAAAATCTCGTGTGCCACAGCAACCGTTCCGGGACGCTAGATGGTGACTGCAACGCCCGCAAACGAGGCGCAGGTGACCCTAGCGCCTAGCCCATAGCAGCTCAGAGGTGGTGGGTCCGACGCCAATGTCAAGAATGGTGAGGTGCACGCCCCAGCTGGCGACGGTAGCTACTCCATCATAATTCGTCGCCAGGGTGTCGGGTTGCATGCGAGTCCTCGTGCTCTCGACTACCTGAAGTCCTTTAACGGGAAGACGCGCGATGCAAACCCAGTCAGCGTCGTGCCAGGTCAGGAAGGCGAGTCAAGACACCTAGTGAGCGCGAGCGACTGATGTGAAGAGTTGACATCTACAAAGAGGTGTTCTAGTGCCTGTTTCATTCGTTTCGTACATAAAGATCTGCCAAAATCTGTGTTCGGCGTGTGCTCAGTGCATGCTGACGACACCAAAGTTTGTAATACTGTGAAGGATACGTCAAAAAAGTACAGTTACAAGATGATCTGGACAGGTTAGTTGATTAGGCTGAAAGGTGGCAGGTGCGTTTCAGAGCTGATAAGTGTAAAATAATTCACCTTGGTAGGAACAATGAAGAGTAAGATTGCAGTCTGAGACGACATTGTTGCAACGAGAGTCATGATTGTGAAGTCGATAATTGAAAAAGATGTAGGAGTTTATGTCGACAAGTAGTTGAAATCTTGGGATAAGCGGCTTGGCATTAAAAACGTTAGCATTTTTAAACTAATTTATGGCAGAGGCGCAGGGCATTTACACGGTTTTCAAGCTGCGTTGCTGTTCGCCGACACAGCATGTCCAGCAGCCACGGGCACACATTACTTTACCTAATTGTGTCTTGTTCGGCGCCAGTTGAAATGAGTGTTTAAGGTTTAATATTAGAGTTTAGTATGGGCCGTGTCATGTCCGTTACAGAATACGGTCACTATATTCTACTGCGCATCTTATTCACCACTCTTCATAAAAGCCTCGTGAACATAAGTTTCCTTATATAGAATAGAATAGAATAGAAGTGTCGGCGTTGAAGACATAGGCCCATGGCCTGTTGCCGATTCTTGAACTTTTCGTGACGTGATTCACAAGGGATCCGGCCTTTGGAACCCGATATTTCCATAACTGACGATTGATTGAGATAGCTGCTGGACTTATTGCCTGCTCCGTAATTTGCTAGGCATTTTAAGACTGAACATTGCTCCTGCATAGCTTCGTCTAGTCTGTTTTTGAATATGTTCATACTCGGAGCTTCAACGATGCTATCAGGGAGGCTGTTCCACATGTCGGTGACTCGAAGCGAGAAGAAATGTTGTCGCATGGATGTGTTCCAACGCTGTTTTTTTAATTTATAGCCGTGGCCCCTGGTGTTGGTTCTTGTTTCAAATTCTAGTAATCCTTCTGGGACCTTGTATAAAGCCATGAGTATATTTGTATACTTCAATGAGGTCCCCACGCAGACGTCGATTATGGAGGCTTGGAAGCTTCATAATCTTTAATCTTTCCTCATAGGACTTGCCTTTCAAGCCCGGAACTATCCTTGTTGCGCGTCTTTGAACACTCTCTACTAAAATTTTGTCCTTTTCAAATTTCGGTGACCACACGACGTTTCCAAACTCCAGGTTCGGGCGCACGACAGCAACAAACAACTGCTTCATCGTTTCTAAATCTAGGAACTCGAAAGAGCGTCTGATCAGTCCAAGTCGTTGATTGGCTTTATTAACTTGACCTTCAATATGCTTAGAAAATTTCAACTCATTGTCGATATTAACTTCTAAATCCTTTTCCGTTGTCGACTTCGACATCATTGAGAACCTCTTCTTCTTGTATTTGAAAGCTTGTTAATTTAGAGCCGACTGGGCGCTCCTCAATGGCAGGAATACTGTTCAAGTCCTCTTCAGTAAATACGCTACTGAAAAACTGATTAAGTACGTTGGCTTTGCCCTCATCAGAGGATATCTTCCTCTGATCTGATATAAGTATGAGCGATTTTCATTTTAGCTTCTCATATCCTCAACGACGTTTTCACTACCGCTGCTTGGCTTAGGATCACACTCAAATGTAATGGAATAGATTTAAACTATCATGCAATCATCGAATCATGCATTTATGTCTTCATGATTACCCTGAAATGTGATCTACTCAGGAAAATAATTCTCTGAAAATAAACAGTGTGAGAACCTGACAACTATAATAAATATAACAGCGGTGTCGGCTTTCAATATTAGGCCATCTCGATTAACGCGATTCTGAACAACGCAGAATTTTCACCGCTTGCTGCGGGTCTCGATCACGCAACTCATTGCTCCATACTCGCTTTGCCAAACCTCGCCAATTCTGACCAGGAACATTCACATGAAGCCAGAGTCAAACCCATAATACTCGCTGCACTTAATATTGATAATCATAACTGTAACCACTGGGCCCCCTCGTGAGTAAATGATTCAAAGCGCACTAGTAAAAATAATAATAAACAAATAAACGCGCGTAAAACTGGCGCAGTTTGAGAACATGACCTCGCTAGTGGACAAAAATAGGTACTGTTTCCTATTTGTTTCATGCCGGATTACAAATCGACGCGAAGAGCAGTGCCTTTATGATTAGAGTGCACTGCAGCAATCGCAATTTTCGAATTTTGAACTGATTTTCGAAATTCCTATGAATTAGAATGTATACCCATAGTTTCCTCCGATTGCTTGATGTGCGTTCAGCAAAAACACGATCTCCTGTTTTGATGTTTGCACGTACGGTGACGTACCACTCAATCATAATTTCTTTAAATAAAAATGTATGACAGAAAAACAATCCGTTATTCAATTAGTTAACTTTGATTGGTACACAAATTTAAGATTGTTTGATCATAACCTTGTAAACTATGCTTAAATTAGATATACTCAGGGATTTACCAGGTCCAAAGTATAAGAATCGGCAACAGGCCATGGGCCTACTTCTTCAGTGCCTACACTTCTATTCTATTCACTCATTTTTGTTTTTATGGAGGTCGTGTCGGTCACAGTTAACAACGCTCTGCACCTCCTGGTGTAAGCTCTAGCATTCGCTGTCGTGCCTTCTACTAAATTCAAAATGGCTTGCGGTGAAAGTGGAGCACTAAATTTAGTTGCTGCTTATGAGTCTTCTTCTGACAGCGAAAGAGATTCAGGATATACAAGCGAAGATGATAAGAAAAGAAAATCACACGATGATACTTCTACTCAAATTAATTCAAAGAAACGGAGATTGGAATTGGAGGACGATTCCATGGAAGAAGCAATGATGGTAGATATTCCAGAATACAACAAATTTCAGTCTCTGAGCTTGAGAGAAAATCATAATCATAATGTTGGTTCATTTGCCTCTTCTTGTAAGAATAACCATGTCAAAACTTCATCACCATCTACAAGCCAACTGCCTGTGTATAGTGGAAAATTGTGAGTACCAAGATCCAAGAAAGAAAATTTTTTAAGTTGAGGTTCAGTTTGCATGACTTTGAAGGAATACCTAATTTGGCCCTGGTAATGGTAAACTTGATCAGATTCATGGCAATGATGGCATGATGATCCCCTCCCCCCCATCAGCTAACCGCCATCACTACTTCACTAGTACAAGCTACGTAGGCACGTAGCCTACGCCTAGTACTAGGTAATAGCCGGTATTATTGCAGATTAACTACATACAAAAAAAAGGGTGTTTTTTTTTTTAATTGTATGTTTTTTGGGGTGTAGATTACGAATCTGAAATCCATTTTTGGCGGTCGGCATCGGAAAACCGATTTTTTTCCGACACCTTTTTTTTGGATGTAGTTAATCTGCAATAATACCGTAATAGCCTAATAGTAATAGTAATACTCAGTACTCACTAATAGGTATGTGTGTATAAAAAATTTTTCCTCAGAATGCTCAGATTTTAATGGAATTTGAAAATTAGGTAGGCCTTATAACTGCTGAAAAGAGAAAAAAAATTAGAAAAATAGTAAAATACCATATATGATATACCTACCTAAACTAGGTATAAGTCACAAGTGGAAACCTACAAATAAAAGTGAAAAAGCTAGGCAAATTTTTTTCTTTTTAAATGTTTAAAAAATTGATAAATTTTTGAAACTTTTTTTTGGAAACACTATCATTTCTTATGATTTCTAGGTTTCTCATAAGCCAATTTTGTGAGTAAAAATCACATTCCTAGGAAACTTGGATTTTTTTTTTGTCAAATCTGAAAACTAAAATCTTGCAGCTCTAAAATCAGAATATTATCAGATTCAGATACTAGTGTGTAAATTCTCAATGCCCTCTACCTCTTGAGCTGCAGCTAGTTGCTAGAGGTTTTCTGCCATTTTTGAGACTGCCAGATTCATGCTAGGTAGTAGGTGCCTGTTCCTCCCATAAGAAATTGGCTTACCTCTTGAAATACCACTAAGAAACCTCTCTGATTATTAACAAAAATGTACAATCTGGCTGCAAGATTCCAAATGTTTTGAAAACTTGTGGATCTGGAGATGCAAGATTTCAGTAATGAGTAGGAAATTTCAATCAAAAACATGCATGATAAATTGAATTGTTATATCTTACTTTTCATATATGATTTATGGTATATGGTTGAAATAAAAAAATTTTTAGTGATTGAGCATTTATTTAAATTCTAGGTTACAGTGGTTGATGATTGTTTTTTACTGTGAATGAGTCAATGATGGTTTGAAGAGAATTTCCAAAAATTGCATGCAAAAATCTGCTGTTTTTCCACTTTTTACTCAAAAAATTAGTCAAGATGCACAAGCCATTATAATGGGTAAAATTGACTGACTGCAAGCATTATCATTTTCATCTCAAATGGCCTCCTTTATGGGTGACTTCTCAGTATTCCATTTTGGGCCAAGTCTTCCTAATTCCTAAAATAGTAATAGGAACCTTTTCCCTCAGTTGAGTGCTAATTGCATGTTTTTTGCAATGCAACAATGAGTCAACAACACCTCTGCTGTTTTTAGGGCTGCATAATTCCACAACTTGATGTATTAATCTTTTCTTCAAGCTGTTAGTTTTCCCATGCTTCAAAATAGATAGCTTTTTAACTGCAAGATATCAAATTTACTTTAAATTTATGATTTCTGACCTGTGAGATATTTTAATTAACATCTCTTTTCAATCTTGTATTGCAAGTAAGAGTTTTTTGTTGTTTCTATAAGACAAGGGGTTAAGTTTTCATTCTATTTACAGCAATCCCTTGATTAACGCGGTTAATAAATCCCCGAGTTTTACCGTGTTAGGCAAAACGGCGCTAATCAAACTTAAGAATATATGGGAATAATTATAATGAATCCTCAAAAATAGCAAAGTTACATAATAATTTTTTTTCCACTAAAATTCATCATATTTTTTCTGAATAATAGGGGAAATAAATAAAAGAAATGCGAATGAATTAACATTTATTTTTTACTGAAAAACTAATCCAATTTCAATTGCACAGTAGTATTAGATTTCTTTCTCTCCTTAGATTTCTTCCCTTTTTGTCTATAATTATGACGGTAATTTATCAAGGAAAATTATGTAGTTTGATAAAAATGAGCAGTAGATATGGCAGCGATCTTGACCAGTTGCAGGCTAACGAGTAACTAGAGCACCGGCATGGCGCACTTACCAGCAAACGTTGCCGAACTTGACCATTCGAGTTATGAACGAGACAAGGCGCGGTTAAACCGACTCTGTAGTCAGCACGAGTGCCTACGGAATGGGACCTTACTTAAAGAATTATTGGCTGAAATTCATAAAGTAACAACATTTGGCAAATTTTTCCAAAAGTCATAACAAAAGTAACAACATAAGATCTAATAAGCAAAAAGTAACACTTTTGTTACGAACGTAGCACCTCTGGCTAGAGGCGGGAAAATGATGCGTTGTGAAAAAAAAGTCGCGCTAATCAAAACTGGCACCGCGTAGATTAAGGGTAGGTTGCAAAATTTTTTTCTGCGTTAATCAAAACCGTGCTAATCAAGGGATTGCTGTAATTGCTACATTTGAGAATATTTATAAGAACTTGGGCCTAATTTGCAAAACTGGTGCTTTAATTTTACCATTGATAATTATTAAACTTATTTATTTCAGAATCATACCTTTACCCAAAGAATTGGCTGGAGAAGGTCCCAGTCACGTGGACGATGCCAGTAAGCATCAAGGTCGTGTGAGGTCATTCCCTCATGATGTAGGAAATTGGGCATCTATTGTATATCTTCCATGTAAGTAGATCTTATGTAGCCTAATGTAGGGAACATTTTGTTCTACTATATCACAAATGCATGAATTTATTATTTTATGTTAAGTCGATACATTGATTTTTTGCTTCGAATGGAAATCACAATTACACAAATAATATTTTAATTTCCCAGGCTTGCATGGAATATCAATACATTATTCTCTAATGCTCCAAAGGCAAGTATATGTATTATATTTACTAACTAAAAGTCTCCACCCATGAAAGCACATCAAATCTTTCTGTTCATGTTTTGAGGCTTTTTTCCAATCTTGACATGTCTACTTATCAGACCATTCATGTGGCCACCTTGTGCTATGCTCTTAACTTGCATAAAAATACAAATTAAAGGAAAGATTCTCAGTATAAGTGACTTTAAAATCTTCTCCAAACCAAGAACATTGGAATAATTAAAAAAATTTGTTTTTTAAAAAAGTAAGCAAGAACCATGAAGAAATAATAATTACTGGCATTATCAATTATAATCAATATGATTACTGGTATAAATAATCATCTGAAAATTTATTTTGAATGGCTATTGAATAACCGTTTGCAGGCAAGCCTGTAACCTTGCAGAAATAAAAATTTCTGTAAGCCATGCCAGAAAGTGTGATCAATTATATGATGTACCTATTGACTCGTGTGTATTTTTCAAAATTTTTCATATTAGAGGATTAAATTATGGTTTAGAATTTATTTAATGCTGTCTCTTCACTAAAACCAGTTAATTTATTTTAATTAAGTTTCTGCATCCAAATTTGAAGGGTGTGTAACTAGTAACAAACTTAATTTATATTCAATTACTGTAATGATCATGTGAGAAATTGAGCAACTGAGATTTCTTTTGATGAATAATTGTGAAAAATGTTGGTGAGGAGATACTATATATATCCCAGGATTGGTCATTGTCAGTAGTATTTGCATCCAAATTTGTAAATTCCTTTGTATTTTTATATCAATGTACCAAAACTGCATTTTTAATGGCATTTGTTTCATGGATAACAGATATTTCATATTATACTGACAATTATTCTCCTTCACTTAGTGAATGAAGACACCAGCAGTGGGGTTGGCATCACAAGCTATGAGACTCTACAAGCTCTGGTCACTGAAGCAGTGAGTATCTGCCAGCGTCAAAGCCTGTGCCTCACTCCCTCCACGGACTTCCACATCTCACTGAGCAGAACTCTGCTCCTTAGGATACACCTCATTCATCCTCTCGCTCACGACGTGCGAGCCAGTCTTGCCAACACTCACCGGTCAGTCAACTTTCACTGAGAGCTCTTTTGAATTGTGTAATATGATATTGAGTGTGAAATTCAATAGGAAAATCTGTAAACCAATACATATATTATATTGGAATAACAGATTGATTGGCGCAAGTTGTTCAGATATTTAGTGTGAGTTTAGTGGCAGAGAGTTCATTGGTAGCACTTTGCATTAAAATTCGCAAATGATACTGAAAAACTTGATGAAATTTAAATCTAGTTCTAACTAGAGTTGAAAAATGCTAGTAATTAAAACCTATGATCTGTGAACTCTCATAAAGGTTTTGAATAAACCTGAATCATAAATTGTTGTGTTCCATCAATTGGTGTGTTCCAGGTGAAAAGCTGTTGATAATGAACAAGCTGTCATTGACTTGGAAATTCATATAAATTGTTGGCTATTTTTCTTTTTCATTCATTAACTGCTACCTGACTAATTGGCTATAATTGATGGATTTATTTTGATCCACTCCCCCTCCCCCCCCCCCCCTCTCGTGAAAACTAGATATGTTCTGAACCACTAACTCCAACTTACTTTGTTCTTGGAATACATTACAATGGAAACAAGAGGATTTTTGATCCTCTTCTTTATTTTTCATCAAATGCAGAATCTTCTGTAATTCAACCATTCCTAACTCCAAATGATTTGTATCAATGTCTGCTCATATATTTTGTTTCCAGGTTCCATGTTTTTCTGAACAAATTTGCTGTTTATGTCAATGAGGACAAGACTCGTACGTTCCTGGGGCTGAAGGTGCTACATGGTCAGTCTCAGCTAGCTAACGTTGTTGCCAAGCTGGACCGCATCTTCCAAACTTATAACCTGCCTACATTTTATGAGGTGGGTGCCAGGCAAGCTCATCTTCATAATTTTGTCTGTAAGTTCTACAATTATTTCTGGCATTACCTTTAAACTGGAGCACGAGCAGCTGCCTTTCTGTGAAAAAATTACCTTGCTTACTCTTGAGGCCAAACTTGAATTAACCCTCTACCGCCTGACATGAGTAACCAGAGCAATATTGTCACAAGCCTTTATTCATAAAGGATTTGTTGCTAGTGAGCCCAAAATGACTTGCACTGATGTTTGCCGCCACGTATGACAACTTAAAGTGTTCTCTGCTGCGTACTAACGTCCTCAGGTTGCAACACTCAATTGTTTACATATAATTCAAGTTTAAAGTTATGTTGCTGGAGATCGACATACGGCGGTAGAGGATTAATTGCTATGATCATCCTGGATATCAGATTACATTCCTCCAGACGAGCACGGTTTGAAACAGCACAGTCAATGCATTCTTGTATGTACCTGACAGTGAGCTGCATTAGATAACTATTTCCTAAATAAGTGGAAGCGATCTCTTATGTGCTCTCCAAAATGGGATTATTACTCCAATGTTAATTATGAATGTAGGCTAAACAAAAGTTGTGCCTGCAGGACTGCGACCTGCACGCCTCGGTGGCGTGGGTGCGAGGTGACCAGAGGGCGGCGCTGGAGTTGCTGCTGCCGTCGTTGGAGTCGCACTTCCATGACTACTTCAACTACGACGATCACCTGCGCTCCTTCCATGCCAAGTACATCCACCTCAAGGCTGGCAACCGCGTCAACTGCATACAGCTTGGCCCCTACGCCAGCTAGCCATGCCCTAGCTTCAACATATGTTTCTTACACTAATTTTGGTTTTTTATTGAATTAACCTCGTTAATCTTAGACCTTCGTGAATAAACATGCGTCTTTCACGTGTCATTAGATCGCACAACAATATTTTCTTCAATATGTAGATATAGAAATGCATAAATAATGTCTTCTCATACCATTAACTGTGTTAGCTAATGCATGTGCCGAAATATGAATCGACACTTGCATCACTTTTTGTTGATATTTAATTCACGCAGATATTTGGCTACGTTTTCAACTGGATACATTGTCTAGGTAATGATATTTTTCTATATTCTTAGAAAAGAATTTCTGAGATGAAATGTGTACAAGTGTCTGTGATACATCTAGGAGAATAGCTGATTAATGCCGCATAATGAACTTGAATGCCCGAGACAAAGTCTTGTTTGGTGTTGATTAAATTGTCACATTTCAACTGAAGCAAACTTCTTTATTATAAAGACAAATTCAAGTCTTTGATACATATTGATATGAAACCTTTTCAAATATTTTCAATACCGTACCTATATTATTGAAAATTTTGCTTCACATAACAATTTCGAGCACTATAAACTTAAAATTATTAGTTTCAACGTGGTTTGATCGTGACAGCAACGAACAAAGTTGTGATCCTACCTCACTTCGGATGTCCACTCCCGGCAGATAAATAACTTTGTTGTAAGTCATCACGAATCCGTGATCCAAGGATGAAATTAAGGAAAATACGTAAACAATTGTTTACTCATGTGCTTGTGGAAACTTTAGAAAACTCGCGTTTTGAGGCCAACGTTCATTTTTTCATTTCAAGGGCGTATAGTGTGAAATTGTGGCCTGTTTTCTCTTTAGATTTAAAAAACTGAATGAAATATTGCATGAACTCTATCTAGCTGAAATGAATATTTTTCTACGACCATCAAAGGCTAGGAAATAGTGTTAGCCTACTGGTGAGCCGGTGGAAGTGCTTGAGTATCATCTCCATTGACGCGCAAGTGTTCGCGCTTCAGTGGTTGAAATATTTGAATGTGAAATTTTCTCTTCGTTATTACGTCAATGAAAAGTCTTTATTGTCCCATGGCTTTCACGCTGCCTGACCTCTCCTATAGATGGTCTCTTAACTAAAAGGATTGATTCTATTCAAATATTGACAAAAGAATAAAACTCCATATTCTTTTTTTGTTGTGTTTATCTGTTGTAGTTCTGCTTCGTAATTTACTTGATAGGAGGATTGAATTTGCTCACTGTAAATTCATGCTGCTTCATCGAGCCTAGCAGAGATGAAGAAAGGAATAATATTGTACATGCTTTATAATATAAGTGATCAGAGAGATCACTGCTCTTCGTGTTCTCATCTTGGCTGTGTTTTTGACCTATCATCTTGTTTCCTTTTATAAAGTCATAATCACTTTTTCTTAGGCGTATGCGGAGGAATAAGCAACATTCCTCCATATTTGTTGCTTTTCATTATAATGTGCTCGTACTTTTTGTACGATATCTAAGCGCCGTGTGTCTGTGTGTGTGCGCGACGGGACGCGCCGGTCGCCACTCCTAAGCAGGGCCCTCGCTGCCCAACTAAAGTAACTGAACTAAGGCTTCAGTTTGTTTCGTACGATGCTTACATGACACTAATTCTGAGCTGTTTTTTCTTATCCTTCCTCTCGCCAGTGCTTCTAATTAGTACCGTCCATAATGTCTTGGTAACATTTTTTATATTCCATATGTGCGACTCATCATTTTTCGCATCCAAGTAAAAAAACGGGCGTGTAAAACTCGTCCGTTTTGTTATTTCTGTCGAAAATCGTAATAAAAAATCAATGTATTTTTTGTTAATCTAATCTATCGCAACTTGTTCCACGTGTGGAGTAACGAAAAAATCCATACGTCTTCGTTTCGTCCACGATGGATCATGTAAATTTTGTATATCTACTTGAACCCTCCGACGCTAACTTGAGTTACCAAGCTTGTAGATGAAATGCATAATTACTTTTTGAATAGGGGGCTGCGGATTCGTTATGTTTAAGACTCGTTAATTCTGTTCGGCTAAGAAGAATGGGCCCATACACTTGCACGTGTATGGGCCCGAACACCTTGTTGAAGAGAGGATTCCGTCGATACTGATATTATTGTCTTGTTCAGTTAAGGAAAAGTTAAAGGCCGGGAACGTGGTCAAGAAATTGTCTGTGGAAGCGCGATTGTCGCGCGAATTTTTTGAATTTCATCAGGAACGATAGTCATAACCAGTATCTTAATTATTTAAAGATCGAATCTCTCCGTGCGGTTTTTATCTCGTTAAGACTGCTCTCCATATTTGTCCTGTTTTGTGGAGTTCCGAAAGCGGGCAATTTTACAGCTTCCAGCCACACATGCCTCACATATTTTTACACCCTCCAGACAAAATATTGTAAACACCTGACATTTTGATATCGTACTTCTTGAACATGTTATAAACAATGAAAACGTGAGATAATTTTTAAGTTTTATTGTTTATTGTTGCTGCTAATTCATATTTTATCCCTGCACAGATATTTTTAGTCCTAAAGTTTTGTATCTATAACCTAACCTATATGCTATACGTAGCAAACCTCTGACTTTCAAAGAGGCCAAATAGTCCAGGAAAAATAAGGTTTGACCCGGAACAAATTGCAAAATAAATTATTTTTTCACCAATGCTCCAGAAGTGCATTAGAAACAACATACTAAAAATCCTCTAAAATGCAAGTAGTGGATGGGTGTCAAATTTAAGATTTAAAAAAATGGCCGCCGAATGGCAATATAAGCCCAATAACACATTTTAAAAATATGGTCGACAGTTATTTTTGTGACTGTATGTATGTTTTCATGTAGGGGGTATTCATAAATAATAACTAAATTTCATCCAAGGTGGTAGCAATCTAGTATTTGCAAAAAAACAGCCACCTATAAAGTGAAAAGTTGTGATTATATAGGCATGTGGAATAATGCCTATGATATATACAGGCATGCACCTGGAGTATGTTTGTGGGGCAGGGTGAGTGTGTGTCTATATCATAAATGGTGTGTTAATTGTAGTTAGAGGGCAGCATTGCCTAGACCCTCTGGTGTAAGTTTTAAGAACATGACAGCATGAGAGGGCGGCCCAGGGGTTACAGTTCAGTGTACCAGGATTGGAGCAGAGAGGTGCGGGTTTGATCCCAGCTCTGTGCGCCAGTTTCTGGTCAGAATCGGCTAGGAGGTCGGGCGGTTAAGCACAGCAGAATTGTAGCAGTGAGTTGCGAGTTCGATACTGCAAAATGCTGTGAATTTTCTGCGATGTTAAGAATCGGCGACAGGCCTACGGCCTAATAAACGCTGAAACCGCTATTATTATTATTATTAAGAGAGCAGCCCTCTGATCAGACTTCAAGACAGGACACACCATATAGAGGTATTTTGTGATTATTACATGCTTATAGTCACTGCTACAGAATGTCTAGCTTGTACATAAGCTTGGTAGAGGGTGATCACATCATGTCTTACAGGTAGCACCAAGATGGATGTTGCCTAATGTGCCCTTTGCAGCAGGCCTGTCCTAGAAGGTGAAGAATGTGCAACACTAACACCCAAGGGTTGTAAAGGTATCCAGAAAGCCAGTGAAAGAAGAAAAGTTGTAACAACAGTAGTGCTGGACAAAAAGTACACACACAATGTCGCAAGGACCATTGTGGGTCATTCAGTATTGAAGCCTAGAACAGAAAAAGAGCAAATGAGTCTTCTGAAGACGGAGCATGCCAGCTGAGATCTACTGGAACCGGCTTTGATTGCAAAAGTAACTATCTATTGCGGGACAGATATGGTGGTAAGAAGAAAGACTTAGTGCTGACACCTGTCAGGGAATACAGTGTTCAAAACTCAATCCTTGGGTCTGAGAGAGAAGATGAGTGGGGTCTGAAGGTGAAATCCAGGTTACAGTTTGTGGCTGGAGAGATTGCACTAGTCTTTCTGTACAAGGGTGCTTTACCGGAGAGTCTCTGGACAAACTTCGATTCAACAACTTTCACAGAAAAGTTGTTAGCAAAGCATTTGTAGACCCTAGACTCCTTCGTTTGGCATTTTGTTTAGTCCGAGAAGGCTCTGTCCCGGTTCGCATTAAAAACCGGGACAATTTTCAGCCCTCCGTAGGAATTCAGGGACGATACCGAGACGAGACGAGACATCCTGGTTAAAATAAATCTCTTCTCGTCTCGTTATGTCTCGTTTCAAATCTGTCTGTCTCGTCCCGGTTCATAATTTACCGGGACACAAGTTTTTAAGTCCGGGACAGAGTCTTGTCTCGGTTCATACGTTTATTCCGGGACAAATTTTACCCTCTGTCCCGTTATTTTTTTCCCTGAATTTTCTCGTCTCGTTTCGTCTGTCCCAGTTCATTTCGAGAAAATTATTTCGAGACGCAGGAGTCTAGTAGACCCCCAGGTGCTTTCACCTACATCAGCAGCTGCCCAGTTTCACAGTCTGAGGACATTTTGCCAAGTGCAAGAGTGGCTGGGCAACAGAATGAAACCTGGAGAGTGGGGATGGGAAATGAGAAATGGACAATGCATGCCTGTTCTCACAGATCGAGAAGTTGCCCCACCTGAGCTACTAGAAGTGGTGAGATGCAATTGTTCAACAGATTGGAAACAAGATATGGAATGTTCCCCAGTATGTGGCCAGTGCCATGGTGTGTGCAGTAACACAAGTCAAGTATTTGACAGTGATTCTAACTCTTCTGATGAGTGACCGCAAGACAGTAATGGTGGTGGTATAAGGGCGAATATGATACATAGGAGTGTTCAGCAGCATGTAGCCAATGCTGATACTCCTGATGGGTGACATCATTCTAATTTGAAATATTGTATAGAATAATCACAGTTGGGTAACATGGGGCAGCGGCCCCCTCCCTTTTTTTAAACTAAATTTTTGATGAAGTTTTAATTGATACGAGGTGATTCTTTGTTATGTTTAAAGGTACAAATAATGAGGAATGTATGATGTGAATTAGACGCCTATAGAGTAATTCAATTTTTAATGAAACACTATTTTATAAAAAGTGTCAAAATGGGCCCATTGCCCCACCCCTGGGGCAATGGGGCATTACCTGTGCATTACCTTTGCTGTGAACTACATTTGCTGCTGACCATCTTTCCTGTGTACGATCATTGCTGTGTTCTATCATTGCTGTGTACTATCATTGTTGTGCGCTCGTTACTCGGATCTGTTCAACCTTTCATTTATCAGTGATCAATTCGCGTATTTTGTTTAATAAATATTTGTTTATTATTCTCTCATTCCTCCCTTGTTAAGATCGGTGGCAGATTAGGGTTAATTGTCGAATCAATTTGGAGTCCTCCTTTACCTGAACTTTTACAACCACAATTGCATATTTTTTGTTTAAAAATGATAAAACAACACTTTACAGTTAAAAATAAGCCAAATGTAATGAAAGATATAACATTCATTCATTTATTAACAACTTAAAAAATTATATCCTTAACATGAAAAAATTATACTCCAGGCTTAGAAAATCTATCACTGACGTGAAGACAAATATTTCATTGACATAAAAATGTATATGTCCTTGACTGGAAAAATATATCCTTGCGATAAAAAATTCATCCTCGACATGAAAAAATGTATCCTTGACTAGAAAAAATATACTTAGGTGATCAGAAAAACTTCGTTCCAGTTTCGTCCATAATCCAGATATTATGTGCAGAGAATTCGTGCTTAATCTTGATTTCAGCCAACACCAAAAAAATTCATCAACTTTTGACTCATTTGTGTTTGCTGAAATCAACTTTTGGCAAAGCAAGAGTCAAAAACTCGATAAGGGGTCAAATACGCATAACTAGAAACTAGAACCTGTTGCCTAGAGGCAGCAAATAAAAAAATCATGCAATATGAAGTGTAATTTGTAATTCAAAAAGCCAGTCATAGTTTTGAAAAGGTCATTGAGACAAATCTAATGATGTATAACACAAGACTTCACCATGGGCGCTTTGCCCCGTGACACGCATGGGCCCGTTGCCCCCCTAAGTATCATTTCAATTTATATCGTGTCAACATTTTATTTTATAAGCTAATAGTCAAAACTTGAACTCAAAATTATCCCTATAAATATTACTTTCAAAATATAATTCACTGTAATTTCAAAAGCTTCATCTACAGTAATCGAAAACAGTTTTATTTAGCAGTAAAAAAACTTTTATCTGAGCTAAAACATTTATTCGCAAATAACTAAACAACGCAAAATCTTAGCAAAACGTAAATCCGTACACTTCATCCCAGTGAAACTGTCGACCAGCGGTAGAGAACACGGACCAATATCTGCCATACTTAGCGAGAAACCCGCTATGGGCCCATGACCCGCAGTGGGCTCGCTGCCCCATGTTACCCTATACTATAATGGACTGTTAAACTTTACGTTAATAAAACCTTAGTTCTATAGCTTAAGCGTCATAACTGGATTTTTTGTTAGTATAACTTCTTAATTACCACAGTATATTAATTTCTCATTTATATTATACGTCCAAAATAAATAAATAAATTGTGCAAACTGAAATAAAAAAAGGGTTTTTCTATCCCATTCATCATTCATATGTCTGATATTTTCTCTTTTTGTCTACACAGCTGCCGTTCTC